GTAGTTTGACCTAGATGTTTAAAGTTATTCCTAGGAGCTATTCAATCCAAGAATTGTTTTGTTTCCCCAGTTCTCAGACTGTTAATAAAGAAAATTGCTCTTCATCCTCTGTAGACAGGTGGGCTGTGTTTTGGACATTGCATTTGGTCAGAGGCGTACCGTGGCACAGTCGGTGCTGCTGGCGTGGTTGATGCCTGTGTGCAGCTCGCCCACTGTTCCCCTTTGCGCTCTTACAGGCCTGCCAAGTCTGTACATTGCGCATTCACACCTAGAATACGCCAAGCGTATAAAGTCAACAGAGAAAACTGGAATAATATGGGAGGGAAAATTAAAACATTTTTACCAACCTGAGCCACTCTTATGTATCCAAGGGTAGTTGGCATTTATAAATCTGTGATTAGAGCAGTAAGTCTGTAACAAGAGAAATTAAACAAAACATTAACCTCTGGTAACTAAACCTCTTAGTTTAATTTACTTAAAAAAATTTTTTTTGAGATAGAATTCACATACATAAAATTCACCCCTTTTAAAGTGTACCATTTAGTGGTTTTTAGTAAATTCACAGAGTTGTACAACCGTCACTACTATCTAATCCAGAATATTTTCATCTTGGCAAACAAACTACCCATTAACAATCACCCCTGCCCCTTATCCCCTTCCCCCAGGCCCTGGCAACCATTAACCTACTTTCTGACTCAATGGATTTACCCATTTTGAACGTTGCATATAAAGAGAATCTACGGTATGTGGCCTCTTGTGTCTGACTTCTTACACTTAACATAGTGTTTTCAAGGTTCATGTTGTACCATGTATGAGTACTTTATTTTGTTGCTAAATATTAATTGTATAGGTTTACCACATATTGTTTAACCATTTATCATTTGATGGACACATGGGTTGTTTAAACTTTTTGGCTGTTGTGAATAATGCTGTGAGCATTTGTGTACAAGGTTTTTGTGTGAACATAATTTTTCATTTTTCTTTGGTTTATAACTAGGAGTGGGATTGCTGGATCATGTGGTAACTGTGTTTAAGTTTTTGAAGAACTGCCACCATTTTCCACAGCAGCCGCACCATTTTCCATTCCCATCAGCAATGTTAGAAGGTTCTAGTTTCTCTACATCCTTGTTAATACTTATTTTCCCTTTTTTTAAAAATAGCCATCCTAGTAGCCATTACATGGTATCTCGCTGTGGTTTTGACTTGCATTTGCCTGATGACTAATGATGTTGAACATCTTTCATGTGTTTGTTGGCCATTTGTGTATCTTTGGAGAAAAATCTATTGATCTTTTACCTGTTTTTTAAATTGGGTTATTGTCTTTTTGTTGTTGAGTTGTACGCGTTCTCTCTATGTTCTAGACTCTTATCAGATACGTGATTTGTAAATATTTTTTTCTGTCCCATGGGTTGTCATTTCACTTTCTTGACAGTGTCATAGGAAGCAAAAAAATTTCTAAATTTGAAGTCAAATTTATCTTTTTTCTTTGGTTGCTTAGGCTTTTGTTGTCATAGCTAAATAACATTGCTTAATCCAAGGTCATGAAGATTTATACCTATGTCTTCTTCTAAGAGTTTTATAGTCATAGCTCATATGTTTAAGTCTTTGATACATTTTGAGTTTCTTTTTCTATATAGTATGAGACAGGGGTAAACTTTATTTTTTTGAACAGTCAGATTTACAGAAAAGCTGGAAACATATCTTATATTGGTATGGTACAGTTATTACAATTAACAATGTTGATACATTGTGATTAACTAAAGTCCATACTTTATTCACATTTCCTTAGTTTTAAACCAGTGTCCTTTTTCTGTTCCAGGATTCCATCCAGGAGACCATATTACATTTAGTTGTCATCTCTCCTTAGCCTCCTCATTTCCCTTTTTTGTAAGGCTTTTTTTTACCTTTGTTCAAATATTTTTTGATCCCCGCAAATAGAACATTTTGGTCCATCTACGTGTTTTGCGGCTGTGTTAAAATTTTAATCTTTGCAAGTTGACTCCTAAATAAATAGATAAAATCATTAGCATTTCAGCAAACAGCTGCAGTAATAATAGAGAACACCTATCACTTGGGCTCCCTATTATCATTTGGAGTTAAAAGTTTCAAACAGAGCCTCATTGTTCAGAAACTTTTTGTATATTGAGAATATACATATTTAAGTATGAAATATATTGCCCTTGGTTTAATAGTATACTAGGATTCTTAGTTTAATATTTGGATTTGAGGGTGGTGGAGCGAGGGGATATGTAATAATCTTTGGGTTGCTTCTAATAGCAGAAGATTGCTTTGCAGTGTTTTTTCCTGTAGTGTATAAGTATTTCCTATATTGCAAGGTCCTTCCTGTTTTTACTGGAAAATGTTTTAAGCCCTACTGTTCTTAGGATTTCTGTATTGTTGCATCTGCAATCATCATAACTACTATTGGTCCATCTTCCCCACCCCTCACCACCAAATTTGTGTCACCCCTGCCCTTCTGACGCTGTGTTCACCATGCAGATTTCACTGGACTCCAGTCTCTACTGGCAATTTGCAGGTGGTATGTCAGTACTTCGACAGTTTTTTCAGAATTTTGAGTAGCCTTTAGACATTTTCTTATATTTGGAATTCTGTTTATCTCAGACTTCCAAATTTTTCTAGGTATATCTACCCAATTAATAAGACATAATTCATAAATGAATCCTAAATAAATGTAAATAATTGATATTCTGGGTTTAAAACTAAAATGTCATCTTGTTCTAGGGCATTTTGCTATTTCTCACCTAATGGAGAAAACATTTAGGTGCCTCAGGTGTCTGAAGATACTGAGTAACTTCATGGCATGCTTATATGCTGTGATTCCTGTAGGCTGAGAGAGTAACTCTATCCCTCCGTATTTACCCCAAGATATGGGAAGCAGTGATCAGAGAAGCAGCAAGCATTCTGTTGTGAGGCCTGTGACGGGGGTGTTGGAGAGGCCACAGCACAATGGTATATGCTTTTTTGCAAGGCAGTTGTAGCATTTTACTGGTACTGAGAGTTTGGGAATTGCTGGGGTCTTTTTTTTGCGGTACGCGGGCCTCTCACCGCTGCGGCCTCTCCCGTTGTGGAGCACAGGCTCCGGACGCGCAGGCCCAGCGGCCATGGCTCATGGGGCCAGCCGCTCGCGGCGTGTGGGATCTTCCCGGACCGGGGCACGAACCCGTGTCCCCTGCATCGGCAGGTGGACTCTCAACCACTGCACCACCAGGGAAGCCCTGGGAATTGCTGTTTTTAACTTTACTATGAAAATGTTTATATAAAAGGGAGGCAGTGGTTTTGTGTATACGCATGTGTATGAGCAGGTGTGCGTGTGTGCACACGTGTGCATATATAACCGCACATATTTCCTAGTTCTGCTGAGAGGGCCTAGAAGCAAATGAGGATACCCAGTTCCCAAATCTTGATTTATTATACTATTCCCCACTTAAAGGAACTTGGATTTCTCAAGAAATGGCTGACTCAGGGGTTAGGACAGGATGAGTACAACATAAGATAGAAAGTAAGAAAGTGCTTTTAAAAAATGATGGGGCATGTCAAAAGGATGCAGGAGCCTGCTTGAAGAGACTCTCAATTTGAGCACCAAAATAATTAAGGACATTAATGAATTATAGACCATTGGAAAAGCTGGGAATCTGTGAGCCCATGTCAATAATAAATAGGTAAATAAAAGGGGGAGAAGGGAGGGTTTGTATTTACAGTGGAATGCCAAGTGCCTGACTGGTAATTATGGAGGGAGGCCTACAGTTGAAAAATCAATATTGGTTTGGCTCAGAATCACCAGTAGGTGCTAAATTTATGGGGAAATTTTGATGAAGGCTAGAATATTTGGATGATTTTAAAGTGTCTCCCCACAGATTGCATACTGATTGCAAATGGGAATGTAGTAACTAAAGAGTAAAACTGGAGAATACCTTGACCAGGTGGCTAACATCAAGTTAACATCACTGATGAGGGGCACATGGGTGACATAGGCATCCAGAGGTGATGCTCTGAGGTGGACATCTCTTAGGTTAGTATTCTGCTCCAGAGATGCTTACCCTCAATCTAATCATGAAGAAACATTAGACAAACCTAAAATGAATAATGTTCTTTTTTAAAAAAAAAAAAAAAGTAGGCTTTATTCTTTAGAAATGCTGATGTCATAAAAGACAAAAGAAGTTGTAGAAATGTTCCAGATTAGAGACCAAAGAGACATGACAACCAATATCTGGTTCTAGACTGGATCCTGTGTTAGATTCTAATCAAAGGTAATATAAAGGACATTATTGGGTCATTTGACAAAATTGGAATCCAGGGGGATAAAGTGTTATTGATAACTGGTTGTATAAAACTGACAACACTTCTCAACCAGGTTCTGCAGAAGTGAGCCCTTATGCCCTAAGGCATCCATTGTATGTAATAGATTCTCTTCTCTCCTGTGCATCTAAAGTGATACTGACCAAGTATAATCCTTGGGAGAATGGAAAAATAGTCACTCAAATTATTTTCTATAGGGCTTAATTCTCTCATGGAGCCACAAAAAAAGGCTGTGAAAGAATATGCTCATTTTTAGAAAACAGGCACTGAAGTATTTAGGGGTAAAGGACCATGTACATTAAAAAAAAAAAAATCTGTCCCTTTGTAAGTTGGCATCTAATGCATTTAAGACCAGTCAGAATAGCTGAAGGTTTTATGTAAGCCTAAAGCTACCATGCCTTGATCAGCGTTCAGTGTTGTGGGGTGTATTATTGGACAGAAGTTTATGAGAGAGTGTGTTTTAGCAATAAACTGATCACTTACGTTATTTGCCAATTCTGCTTGAGCTTCTGCTGAGAACCTTGAGCTGACTCTGGTTCTTTCTGGAATAAGTCAGGGTGTAAATAAATAAGAACTGTATGAACTGCTTAAGGTAGACAGTCAGTTACTGATAACAAAAATAAGTTGAAAATATGTGGCCCAAGAAATATTGTTCAAAATCACCATATGATTTCTCTTTCTAGGAGGAGCTCTTGGATATTAAAGAACGCCCTCATTCCAAACAAAGGCCTTCGTGCCTCTCTGAGAAATATGACAGGTATCTGTGGGGGTCAACTTCTTGTTACACCAAACTTAATAAATGGAGTTGTATTGTTTTGCTGGAATTACGAGTGGGGAGATTTCAGGGGTAATGACATTGGGCTTCCACACAAATAAATTGCACGTAAGCTATGAACATGACTAAATAGCATCTCACTGCACTGTCTTCATCGGCTTTGTTATTAATTAGCTGAAATTCAGAGATTTAAGCTGCAAGGAACTCTAAGGACAACTAAACCAATTCTCTTTCAACTAACTGGTGATGAAACTAAAACTAGAAAATGACACATCGGTCAAAGGCACCTTGTCAAAAAGCAGAATTAAGACTTGAACACAGGAGTCCTGACCAGAGTCTTTTCTCTCTGCCAGTGGTTTTTTGCACTGTGCTTTGAGGGTCCTTCCAGGGCCTGCCTGGGGCAGGACGATCAGGAGGACTCTGGGCCTTCTATCAGTCCCCCACCCCTCACTCCCAAACAAGAGAGCCATTCAGATTTTTTGGGGTGGTTTGTTTTGTTTTGTTTTCACGGCATGCGGCATCTTAGTTCCCTGACCATGGATGGAACCTGAGCCCCCTGCAGTGGAAGCACAGAGTCTTAACCACTGGACTGCCAAGGAAGTCCCCACATTAGCCCTTTTGCATCTTGGGCTCCTTCATAAGGTAGAAAGCTTTGGTTTGAGAAGGCTATAGCTAAAAATGGTCTGAAAGTCTCTTAGAATAACCCTACATTGCACTTCTTATGGTTATCTTAAGACGTTAAGGTCACTTTTTTTTTTTTTTCCCCCGGTACGCGGGCCTCTCACTGTCGTGGCCTCTCCCGTCGCGGAGCACAGGCTCTGGACGTGCAGGCCCAGCGGCCATGGCTCACAGGCCCAGCCGTTCCGCGGCATGTGGGATCTTCCCGGACCAGGGCATGAACCCGTGTCCCCTGCATCGGCAGGCGGACTCTCAACCACTGCGCCACCAGGGAAGCCCTAAGGTCACTTCTTAAATATCAAGGTAGATGGTTCATATTGGCCCACATTTTAAAAAATATATATAGTGTTTAATTTTTTGATAGACTAGCACACGCTTTTTTTTTTTTCTTTTTTTGTGGTACGCGGACCTCTCACTGCCGTGGCCCCTCCCGCCGTGGAGCACAGACTCCGGGCACGCAGGCCCAGCGGCCACGGCCCATGGGCCCAGCTGCTCCGTGGCATGTAGGATCCTCCCGGACCAGGGCAGGAACCCGCATCCCCTGCATCGGCAGGTGGACCCCCAGCCACTGCGCCACCAGGGAAGCCCGCACATGCTTTTTTTAATTTTGTACATGGACAGTTCAGAAGGTTGCTAAATCTGGACTCCTCACCACTTTCCCCTGGTGAGGGTGATACTTGAATAATGGCTATTCTAATTGGTTAGGAGTTTTTGCTAAGTCTCAGATTAGCTGGGGGTTTTCTTTGTTTTTGTTTAGTTTTTTCTTCATTAAAGCTGTAAAGGTTTTTTATGCCTCAAATTGAATTTTCTTGTTACAGCTGTTTCTTCTTGGCGTAAAATAGTTATCATGGGCACATATTCCCTTTGATTCTGAAGTGGAGACATTGTGCCTAATAATAATAATGAAAGTAAGAGAGATGGAGGAAAGAGTTTCTCATCCTAGCAGAGCTAGAGTTAGGTACCAGATCGTTGGGCTCCAAAGCTTCTCCTCTGCACACTGTACCACCTGCCACCCCATCATTAGTGTGGGAGTAACGAAGTCAAACCCAGACTACACACTTTAGGCTCTTAAATAGCTGTCTGTCCTACTTGTGGGAAAAACTGAGACTGTACATGGAAATTCTGGAAAATATACACTAAGCCTTCCAGGAGCTGCTTCCAATAAGAGGATTAAGGGGCTTTTTCCTCCCTTTACTAATCTTCAGTAAACTGAGTAATCAATATTTATGGAGCATTTCTTTGTATAGGACAGGCATAGATACTATAATCCATATGCACCCCAAGGTTTGTGGTCTGGATGTTTCATTTATGCACAAACCACTGCTTTTCAAGTGACTATTGCTATTATGTGAACAACAACAATGTATTGCTGAATTTATTAGTTGTTTTTATTTTCATCTTAAAAGAGAGAACCATTCTGATGGCAACCATAAAGTTTTATATTGGAAAGGGGTTTCCATAACCTGTCACCTGAAGTAGTAGAAATTAGACTACGTGTGTTATTCATGGTGCAAGTTCTAACTGTTGGTGCCCTTTGACTTGCAGTGATGGTGTCTGGGATCCTGAGAAGTGGCATGCCTCCCTCTACCCAGCTTCAGGACGGAGTTCACCAATGGAAAGTCTGAAGAAAGAGTTAGATACAGATCGGCCTTCCCTGGTGCGCAGGATAGTAGGTGAGCACAGTCTCTGAGAAGTGGGGGCAGCAGTTTTGGAGACAGTGCTCTTTGCTGCTGGCTTCATTCTTAGCTGTGAGAGTTTTATGCATTGGGAGAAAGTATCATTATCAGGAAACTGACTTAACAGTTTATTTCTTTTTTTTGAATTTTATTTTATTTTTTTAAAGTTCATTTCTGATTAGCAGAGTAAAATCATAGCCTTCCTATGTAGCAGTGGTGAGTAGACTGTATTAGGCTATGTGCTTTTGAATTAAAAGTACCAGGTCTTTCATTGAAGTGGATAGCTGAGTTAGATGTGGGGACCCTAAAGCTGCGCTGGAGAGCTGGTTACGCCCAGTCTCAGGTGAGACTTTTCCTCAGGTATAAGTTAGTTCTGGCAATTCTTAATTCACAATAGAGTATGATCTGAATACTGGGTTTCGATGTGGTTTGCGACTGGAGTAAAGTTTGATCTTCCATACCTTTCCCCCTTTAAACTAGAAAAGTGAAATGGATAGCGGGCAATATAAAAGCTAGTCAAGGAACTAGTTGCAAGAGGGAACTCTTTTTGAGATGAGAGGAACACGCATCATAAAACCAACTTGGAACTGAACAAAGAAGATGGGGTGATGACTGTAGCTTGAGCTGTAAGACCCTTCTACACAGATGAAAACTTAGAAGCAACCTAAATGTCCAGCAGTAGAAATGAAGTTGAGTAAACTTTGGTATATCCATATATAGGAGTGTTCAGCTGTAAAAACATGTTGGAGACATGTTCACCAAGTTATGCAAAACTGTCTATTTTGTGTCTTATTTTTGGACGAAAACAGACAGTGCATGGAAAGTCTGGAAAAGTGCATACCAAAACATTTTAGGAAATGTTTCTAGTGAGAGGATTAAAGGAGGTTTTCCTCACTTAGACTTATCTTTAGTTTTCTGATTTTCCTAGGAAGAATTTTTGTGTGTGGTGACATGTTTTTCTTACATCTTTATTGAGGTAAAATTGGCATTCGATAGACTGGTACATAAATGGCACATAAAGTGTACCATTTGATGTTTTGACATGTGAATACAATGTGAAACCATTACCACAATCAAAGTAATAAGCATTTCCATGACAGCTAAAAGGTTCCTTAATAGCACCCCATGTGTCCCTTCTTACACTCCACCCCCGCCCCACAGGCAAGCACTGGTCGGCTTTCTGTCACTATAGATTAGTTTACATTTCCTAAAGTTTAACATAAATGGAATTATACAGTACGTATTCTTTGGGTAGCTTCTTCCACTCAAAATAATTGTTTTAAGATGCATTCATGTTTTGGGGTATATAAAAGTTCGTTCCTTTTTATTGCCTAGTAGTATTCCATTGTGTGAATTTGCCATAGTTTATCAATTTATCTGTTGATAGACATTTGGGTTGTTTCAAGTTTCTGACTATTAACCAAAACTACTCTGAACATTCACGTACAAGTCTCTCTATAGACATGCTTTCTTTTCTCGGCTGAATATCTAAGAGTCGGATGGCTGGGTTCTATAGTAGATGTATCTTTAATGTTTTGAGAAACTGCCAAGCTGTTTTGCAAAGTGGTTATCCCATTTTACATTTCCACCAGCAGTGTGTGAAAGTTCTACTTGCTTCACATCCTCATCAGCACTTGGAACGGTCAGTCTTTTTGATTTTAGCCAGTCTAATAGGCATGTATCACATTACTGTTTGATTTACATTTCCCTAATGATTAATGTTGAGTATCTTTTCATATACTTATTTGCCATCCATATATCATCTTTGGTGAAGTGGCTCTTCAAACCAGTTGTCCTTTTTAGTTTTTAAGAGTTGTTATATGTATCGGATACAGGTCCTTTATGAGATATATTCTTTTCTTTTATTGGCCACGCCTTGTGGCTTGCAGGATCTTAGTTCCCCAACCAGGGTTCAAACTGGCACCCTCGGCAGTGAGAGCTCAGAGCCCTAACCACGGAAATTCCCTCAGATATATTCTTTGAAATATGTTCTCCCAATCTGTGGCTTGTTTTTGTATTCTCTGAACAGTAACTTACAAAATGCAAAAGTTTTAGATTTTGATCAAATCCAGTTTATCTTTTTTTTTTTTTTTTTTTTTTTGCGGTACACGGGCCTCTCACTCTTGTGGCCTTTCCCGTTGCGGAGCACAGGCTCTGGACGTGCAGGCTCAGCAGCCATGGCTCACGGGCCCAGCCGCTCCGCGGCATGTGGGATCTTCCCGGACCAGGGCACGAACCCATGTCCCCTGCATAGGCAGGCGGACTCTCAACCATTGCGCCACCAGGGAAGCCCCAGTTTATCATTTTTTAAGATAGATTGTGCTCCTGGTGTCATGCCTAAGAAAACTGTGCTAACCCAGTGTCACAGATTTCCTCCATATTTTCTTCTAGAAGTTTTATAGCTTTAGGGGTTACATTTAGATCTATGATCCATTTTGAGTTAATTTTTGTATATAGTGGTAGGTATGAATTTAAGTGTTTTCTTTTTGCATGTGGATATTCAGCTGTTCAATACTTTCAATACTTTCTTTTTAAGTGGTTACTGTTTCAAATACTGACACCTACTGTAGTTTATTAATTGACAAAACATTTGCTAATAATTACATAGATAAGAATTTAGTCAAGGGACTTCCCTGGCGGTCCAGTGATTAACACTTCGTATTTCCACTGGAGGGGGCGAGGGTTCGATCCCTGGTCAGGGAACTAAGATCCTGCATGCTGCACTGCGCAGCAAATTTAAAAAAAAAGGCGGGGCGGGGGGGATTTAGTCAAAACAAAGGGATTATGGAGATTAATCATGGAAAATTATTGATTATAAAGTATATTTATTCCTCCAAAGAGATGAAGTTTTGCTCATCTTCGTTAAATATGTGAGCTCTCTAGCTGTTTTAGTGGTGACTCTTTTCCAGTACCCCCATGGCCACCAGTCATGGACAGACCACCTAGAGAGGAAGAATGCCCTTGCTGGTTTGCTTAACTTTCTCTTTCCGGCATCTTTCCAGATCCTCGAGAGCGTGTGAAAGAAGATGACTTAGATGTTGTTCTCAGCCCACAGAGACGAAGCTTTGGAGGGGGCTGCCACGTGACAGCTGCTGTTAGCTCCCGGCGCTCAGGAAGCCCATTGGAGAAAGACAGTGATGGGCTCCGCCTGCTTGGTGGACGAAGGATTGGCAGTGGGAGGATAATCTCTGCTCGGACCTTTGAGAAGGATCACCGTCTTAGCGATAAGGACCTGCGAGACTTGAGAGACAGAGACCGAGAGAGGGACTACAAGGACAAGCGTTTCAGGGTTTGTCTTCTAGATCCTCTGGCACCTCGTGTGTTCACTTCGTTTATACCGGGTTACCCTGAAATGCTGGGTGAACACAGCCCGTTGTTAAGCTGGAGGGAGGAACAGAGAGCTGGGGGTTGGGGAGGGGCTTCAGGTCTATAGCATAGCATCTTCATTGTACTACTGAGCGTTATTTAATTCATCAGTCTTTGATTGAGGTAGAAATGCCGTAACTAGAATCCTATTTTTTATTTTGCATTATGTACTTTTCCAGAGGGAGTTTGTGGATAGTAAGCGTGTCTTTGAGCGTAGAAGAAATGATTCCTACACAGAAGAAGAACCAGAATGGTTCTCAGCTGGACCCACAAGTCAGTCTGAAACCATTGAGCTGACTGGCTTTGATGATAAGATACTGGAAGAAGACCATAAGGGGAGAAAAAGAACAAGGCGACGGACAACCTCTGTGAAGGAAGGTCAGCAGAAACTTTCAGAGGAAAGCTCACTGTTCTGAAATGAGATGTGCTTATAATTGGCTTAATTGTACACTTAGGAATAGGCACCAGTGTTAAAAGTGGCAAGTTTTTAATGTTGAAGTCTGATTTTGAAACTTCTTCCTGAGTGTGAGTTCAGTGTGTGTAGATTGTACTACTGTCTCCTCAATTTGTCCTGCCTGCAGTGCTAAACAGAAAAGTCTCCCATTACCCAGTAAGAGAACTATGTACACCAAAGGGTTCCCCAGAGGTAAGAGGATGTGATAGAAATAATGAGGGGTCTCATTTATTGAGCATGTATGTACTGGACACGTGGTAAGCGTTTTGTCAATATAATCCTACTTCTGACAACCCTGTGAAGCAGATATTATTGCGCCCATCTTATAGATGAGCAAATGGAGATGCAGGCAGCTTATGTGACTTGTCTGTGGACACTGAAGAAGTGAGTAGGGAAGTTTGGAGTTGAATAAGATGCTGTGCTTCAGAGCCCACCTCCTTCACCATGGTGTTAGGCCTTCATAGTGTTGTCACTTGGCTTCTCCCAAACTCACTTTTCTCAGGTATCTTCCTTGCTAAACTGAAGAAGCCAGAGCTAATGTGCAAGGGGTACCTGGTGAAGGGTGGGGGCCCACTAGTCGTGTTCAGAGCAGTGACCAGGCTGGTGGTCTTGGGAGGAAGCAGGGAAGAGGCAGGTGGGTAACCTGGGAGACTTTGCTGTTAAATTGCCTTTGAGAGATGCCTTTGTCTCACACTCAGACTAAAGCAGCACCAGCAAGTGTGGTCTTTTCACCTCATGGTAAAGATCAGGCTTCTGATGAGAAAAAGCCCATCTTTTTCTTAACTGAGATGAAATCTGAATTTCAACCATTCTTGTATCAACATGGGAGGAGCCAAAAGTAGCAAAATATATCAGTAGTGTCACCTCCTCATCTTACAGATGCAAAGAGACAGGACTGGAAAGAGGTGACAACCAAGACCCTGTCCCGTGGGTTTAATGGCAGTGCCTCAAGTATCAATAGAATCCAGGGGTCTGGGCTCTCTCACCCCATTGGTTAATTGCCCTAGCTACTGTGTTTAAGATAAACAGGTATTCTAGTTGCATCTTGGCTGCAAGAACGAAAGGACTGGGAGGGATGATGAGCACCTTTGAGTCCATTTATGTCTGTGTTCCAGCTTTCCATTGAACTTGGTATGTAGAGTTCTCTGCAGGCATGTAATAGTGCTGGGAGTATAGCCATGGACAAGACAAATGTGTTCCTTGCCTGCATGATTTTAATACAGGTGTGTGTTGAGCACCTACTCTACAGGGCCCAGTGCTAGGTATTGTACAGATGGTGATGAATGAAACAATTTGAATATGTATTTCACTTATAAACAAAAAACAATTATGTAGAAGGAGGAAATGGTTAAAACCCTCCACTGATAGAAAATTTTAATTTGTATTCTCTCTAAGGAAAAGTATATGTTCATTCTGGACTTCCTGGCAGTCCAGTGGTTAAGACTCCACGGGGCATGGGTTCGATCACTAGTCGGGGAGCTAAGATCCTGCATGCCGTGCAGTGCAGCCAAAAAAAAAAAAAGAAAGAAAAGAAAAGTATATGTTCATTCTGAAATGTGATAATAACACTTGCCCTTAGTTATCTTTCCTGGGTCCCTGGCTTTTGAGACTATCATAATAAATGGCCAGTTGTGTTTGTCCGCTAATGCATGTTCCTACCCACTCTCAGTTGTCAGGTCCAGTTTGCTCTCAAGCTGGCATAAAATTACACATGGGGCACTTCTGCTGCTTGCATCTCTGTTAAGAGATGTTCTCATTTCAACACAAAATATAAGAGAATAGGAGAAAAAAAAAAAAAAGAATAGGAGAAATACTAAAGTTTTTTTGTAAGAGTATGAACTAAGTACAGACTCTCTTCTGGCTGTCATCCTAAAGTAGGTAGACAGGTTCTGGTGGGTTAAATGAGTTAGAAGCGAGAAGCACTGCTCTAGTAGAAAAGGACACAAACTTGGCATTGATTAGGCTGTTAAGTTGTTTACCTTTTCTAGGGCTTGGTTTCTTTGTCTGTAAAATGAGGAAAATACCTCCACCAAAGTAGTCGTTATAGTTAAATGTCAATCTTTAAGGAACATCATTTACCTCTGCTGGTTGGCAGTAAGTGTGTGCTGACCCACTGGAGAGGCTGCCTGTTGCCTTGTCCATGGCTCACAAACGTCCGTCTCGCCAGTTGCCTTAGGCCCTCAGAAGGCCCAGGGTTCTGAGGCGGCAGGCACCTCTGTGGAGGGGCAGTGCTGCCTTACACACACAGCACAGCATGGAAGAGCACTGCTGGCCCACCTAGGGTTGAAGTTTCTGCCACCTGCTAGTATTGAGACCTTGGGTAAGCAAGCCACTTAACCTTTCAGTTGTTGTCCCCTGCCTTGTTGTCTAGCTTTTTGAAGTGTTATTGGAATGAAAGCAGATGATAGCATTTAGCCTCTCTTGGTCTAGAATATCCTGGATGAATAATGAGACTACAGTCCTGTTGGGGCCTTTTGAGAAGGGATGGGTCCAGGCTTTGGCACTTTTTTTTTCCTAGGAGGACTTCATGTCTGCTGTGATCTTGAAACTATAGGCAGCTTTTACATTGGTGCTTTTGCAGGGAGGGGCTTTAGGAGTTCTCTTCTTCAAATTAATAAGTTGATTTTCCAGTATCTCAGTGCACTTATTTTAAAAGGAAAAAGTCTGTTTTTATCTGAAGGATTTTGCCTTTTGCCCATCCTCTGGCTAAAACTAAGATGTTAGCTTCCGTCAATGGAAACTTGGTAGCTTCTCTTAGACCTTATCTTCCCATGCTAACAACCAGACATAACTCAGTTTTAAATGAACCAGGCACTGCAGAGTAAGACAAAGCTGATGAGAGCAGCTTTCCTGCCTCAGAAAGCTCAATCTCACCAGACTGTTCCTATAATATAGTGTGATAAGTACTCTGAGAGATAACACAAACATTATAGAGAAGGTGGTGATTAATTTTTTGGTAGGGTAAAAATGGGTAGGCAGTGCAGACTTTGTAGTGGAGGTGCCATTTGAGCTTTGCCTTGAAGGATGAACTACAATCAGTAGGCAAATGAAACTTGCCCTTGGACTAGGCTTCACATAAATACCTTAGGTTGCTGAACCCTGACTTAAAGTGGTGATGCAGATGCATGGGTGAAAGCAGAGCCAAATTAATTTCATTCCATTTTTAAGCAGTAAGAGAGGCTCAAAAATTGTCCTTTAAAAAAAAAATTAGAAAAAAAATCCACTACATTATAGAAAACTTGAAGAATGGGCAGAGGAGGGATCATAATCCTTCCTAAATCATGTTGGTGTTCTGACTTGTTACTAAGTCTTTTTTCCTCCTCTAGCTTCCATAGGAAGGGAACTGTTTTACTATTGCAAGTGCTGCACTGGCACAAGAAGTCTGCTTTTAAAGTCATCTGTGGCTCTTCTGCATGTGTGATGATGCTGAGGCCACAAAATATGTCTGGAGCAGTTTACATGATCAGACTGTCTTTGTCCGGTTTTGCTTTCAGGCATGGTCGAGTGCAATGGAGGAGTGGCCGAAGAGGATGAGGTGGAGGTCATCCTTGAACAGGAGCCTGCTGCTGATCAGGAAGTGCCAAGGGATGCCGTCTTGCCCGAGCAGTCCCCAGGAGAATTTGACTTTAATGAGTTCTTTAACCTTGATAAGGTGCCATGCTTGGCTTCGGTGAGTGTAGCAGCATGCTTATCAACATGGATGGAGCAACTGTAGGGTTAAATTTGACCTGAGTCTTTAAGATACCTCTTTTTAAAGTTTTGTTTTGCTAGATGATTGGGAGTTTCTTGGTTTTTATTCTTAAATATTATTTGAATTTTTGTTGGCTTCGTTTTGAGAGGCTAAGTGAGAATTCTATACCAGTTAACTTTTTCCAGGTTGTTAGCATTGGATTAAGAATTCTTCAGATGTTTAAGAACATTGTCTGCTTTTATTTTTAAGTTGTTAAGTGTTTGTTATAGAGCCTTATTGTGGAGGTGGATTTTTATTACTGATGATCAGTATCATACTGATCTGCATTCCTTGGGTAAGGCTGGTTAGGTGGTACCTGTGTGATGTGATGGTTCCGAAAACCTTTCATGAAAAGGAATGTGGGATACTATCACTGTTGCTGTTAAACTGTTGAGGTCTAATCTTTCTCGACTTTTAAAGTAGAAACAGTAAGACATCCCAAATCTTCACTTGGTACCTGCCCTTGCTCCTGGCCCCTTTGGCCATTTAGGGATTAGTAATGCCTCATCAAATTTTTGGAGAAAAGATAAAACTGTGGCCTGTGCCCCCAGAATTGAGATTTTTCTGTGGTTGCTGAAGGAGTGCATAGGACTGATGAAATAGAATTTTAAAAACCATTTGACCAAAAGCATCTGTACGTCCCAGATGTTCTTTACAGGACATGAAATACAGCAAGTAAGTTTGACCAGTCCTTTAGAACTAGTGGTTCTAACTTAACTTACTCTACTCCTTAACTGTAACTGCTTCTTGTTTGATCATTGCATGAGTGGACAAAGCTGGGCATGACAGAGAGGCATGCCTTTGTCATTTGCCTGCCCCCAAAAGCCTAAAAGATGGCCACCTGGAATAGGTGAGCAGACACTGCATAGCACTGATAGGTACAAGGCCACAGGTGAGTTCTAGGGCAGTACTTCTCAAATTCTCTATGGTGAAGGCCAGGTTTTATTTCCAATCCATTGAGGACCAGTACCTTAGTATAAAGTACAAATATCACAGCAATGCCCAGTTGCTATGAAAGTTGCTAAGCATTTACTCCGACTCTCAGCTTACCTCATTGTGGACCAGCTTGGCCCAAGACCACACTTTTCTATAGCGCTGTTCAGGAATATGCGGAGGGCGGCTGCAGATCAACCGGCAGCTGCGTGGGTTTGCTCCTTAAGTTCTAGCACAGTTTTAACTGTAAGTCCTCTAGCCAGATACGTCACTTACAGTGAGCTGGCCAGTAGTCCTTTGGCTCACTATGAGCACAAGGGTTGCATCCAGATATGAGTTTAATTTACTTGATGTAAAACTGAGTGATCCTCTCAAATTCTTAGCTTTTGAGGGGACAGTAATTTTTTATTTTTATACCAGCTGTGTTTAGTGACATTTTTTTTTTGCATTCTCCTAGAAGACAGATGGAAATCTTATTGTAAAAAGTTTTCACAGCAAAAGGTCAAAATTTAGAGGCCTGTACTTGGCTCCAAATGTGAGTACCTGTGAAACTTACCTGTGTAACTAGGCAGAAGAAGAATTCAAAACTAAACTTTTAATAATAGGTAACATGCATACAGTGCTGATTGTTTTAGGCTTTGTATCCAATAAGTCATTTAATCCCCACAAAACTCTTGTAAGTTAGATTACTACTGTTTCTGTTTTACAGGTGAGGAAGGCAGGCACAGAGAGGTTTAAATAACTTGCCTAAAGTCACATAGCTAGTTAGTAGTGGAAACTGAATTCTAATTTTTGTAGTTTCAGTTAACAGTCTTTACTCCTAATTCCCCCCAACTATACTGCCTATAAAGCATAAAAGGGAGGAATAGGAACTCAGCACCATCTTATCCTTTGGCCCTCACCCTCAATCAAAACTTGGTTAATTCTGAGAAGGTACCTGGCTAGGAAATCTCTCCATGCTTTTCATGGAGGGTACTACTCATTAAGGTGTATATTCTATAATAGATTCACTTAAAAGCAAAGCTGGGATCAGTAAAAAGAGATGCTCTGGTTGTGCTGTATAACCAGCTGGACTCTATTATAATGCTCAGAAAATGACCAGTCAATTGGGAAAAATAAGAAGGGCTATATAAGATTTGAATATCAACTGACAAATAATATAAACTGTTTGAGGTGTAGTACCTGGCACTTAGTAGGACCCACAGATGTTGGGTATTAATTGGCATAAACAGAATTACACCTATATTTTTAAGCTATATTTACTGGCATTGCAATACATCAGAAGTTGACAGCCACGAAAATCTGTACAAAATGAAAATTTAGATCACATGTGCAAATAATTTCAGTTATGTAATTAAAAATAAGCTGATTTTAGATATGCAGCTCTTACTACAGTACCTAATACATAACAGGTACATAGAAGTATTTTGTTTTTGTTTTTTTTGCGGTACGCGGGCCTCTCACCGCTGTGGCCTCTCCCTTTGCGGAGCACAGGCTCAGCCGCTCTGCGGCATGTGGGATCCTCCCGAACCGGGGCACGAACCCACATCCCGTGCATTGGCAGGTGGACCCCCAACCACTGCGCCACCAGGGAAGCCCCATAGAAGTATTTTGAATGAAGAAAAACGAAATCAAAACAAATCCTAAACTATGTAGAGTGATGAACAGGAGCATGACATAGAAAAACCTTGGTGAAATAATCAAAAGTGTGCTAAGGTGAAAGTGTGTAGCCTTAAATGCATTCATTATAAATCCAAAGAAAAATCAAGCTAGAGTGAAACAAATACAAAAATATGGAAATTTCCATAAAAGTGGAAAGTAATGAAAGAAAAGCATTGATTAGTAAAACTTAGTAATTGTCAAAGAGCAAAAATATTTCACAATATCTGTATCAGAATAATATGAATCCTAGGATATGACTAGTCTAAATGACCCTTAACGGACCAAACTAACAGTCATATAGGTTACCTTAAAAATGCTATTAAAAATGTAGTCTAGAAAGAGCAGCTGAAACATACCAGACTGCAGTTCACAGTCTCCTCCTCTTGACTAGCTTAGGCTGTGGGATGTGGCGGCAGTCAGCTGAGTACCAATGTGCATAAGGGGAGGGAGGGAGGGACTGGTATTAGAGTATCCCTGCTGGCTCTGGTAAAAAATGACTGACTAGATAAACTCAAGATTCTTTTTGGGTTCAAAATGCTCTAGCTTCTTGAAATTGGCATTTATAGTAAGTGGTGTGTAAAAGCGACTGTCTCTACTTATGTTTTAGCTATAATAAAACTTAGCTTCTCTAACAAACAAAGTTGGTCACTGATCAAAATATGGAAATGACTTTCTTAACACTTACTGTCAAATCTTTAGAAAATGTCCAGATACCTTATATTCACTTCCTTTACTTTTTCATGTTCCTCCTGTGTATCTTCTGGCTTTTTTCCTATACAATATGATCAGAGGAAATAAAAACAAAGTGCAAAGCTATTTTTACTATTTTTAAAATTTCAAACTCTTTTCAAAATTAAAATATTTTAAACAGCTGTAGCTTTTACTTTTAAAAATTCCTGTTTATCACCAAGGTGGTTGGGTTTTGGGTACAATTCCCAATTTTTCACAGTGAAACATCACTATAATGCTTCTCCTATAATTTAATGATTGCAAATTAGTGGACTTGAAAGTCAGCATTTGCTGGCACAGCCTGTTTGTTTACAATCATTTTGTATTCATGTCTGCAGGGTTTGCCAGTACTTGTCAAAGCCAAATCCAATAAAAAAATTGGTCTTTGCCCTAAAAAAAAGAAAAAAGAAAAAGTCAGCATTATTTAAGGTATGAGAGTCTACAAGTGGAATGTGACTGAAACTGTTGAATAATACCTAAGAAAATAGAAGTACCCCAAGTAATCAATGTCTCGGTCTTGTGTTCAAGAGAATTATTTGTGGCTTAGATTGGGTATGTGTTATGAGAAAATTCTTCCAGATAAGAATAAAAGAATAAATCTAACCTTCCACTGCTGAACTTTGACTAGAAACTGGGGGTTTTAGACTTCAGATAAAACAAAGTCCCTAACTCTGTCATCTGTGTACCAGTCTTGAGAAAAACCTGTTTTCTGTTTATGCCTTATTGTCAAGGATGTGCCTCATTTTGGGATTGATATTTGCTTTATCTTGTCTTTTCTAAATATTGATAAGAGAACTGCATAAAGGTCATTTTGGATATTTAATTAGATTTATAATAGGGTACAACTGAAAATTTCATTTTCAATGCTTAAATTTAGTTTTTAAGAAGGATTGGTAATAGAAATTGCTGTTATGAAACAGCGTTGAAGAAATTACTTCTGATCATAGTGCATCATTTAATTGCTCTTATTATTAAACCAAAAACTATGGAGGTCAGATCTAAAAGAAAACGAACACCTGAAAACTTTCCATTAAGTTCAAACAGATATTAGAGATCAATTAAAAGTTCATCTTTCACATTCTGACTTGGACTTTGATTAGGAAATATGACTTGGAAATATGATCTTTATGAGCTCTACTTTTAAGCTTTTGGGTTCTGAAATTGTCAGCATTGGATTTCATGATGTTTATTACAACCTTGAGGTTGCTGAAGTCTGAAGCAAGGGTTTTCTTTCATCAGCTCTCCATACCTGATGCTTAGTTGAAGGTCACTCATCAGCTTGGCAATGGAATGCTTTACTCTGGTGCTGATTTTGATTTCAAAACTATACCCTCTTAGAACATTGATGGATTTTCTAATGAGGCAAAAATAGAAAACCAGAACACTTTCTGTAGCACAGATGTTTTGCTTTATATGCTGAGAGAATACATGGTTGGTTATGCCCAAGTTTGGGTTACTCAGAAATGATCCAGGAGGGGAAGAAAAGTTAAAGATGATCAGAATCCTAAGTTCTGAGGGTGTTTGCCTTCAGGTCAGCAGCATCAAAGGAAGTTTCAAAGTAAGTGACCCTTTCTTAAAATTTGAACCTTCTTGTCCTTTTCACCTAGAAACTATTATCTTAGCTTCTTTTATCTTTCCCTTTAGATGATAGAAGATGTTTTGGGAGAAGGGTCAGTCTCTGCCAGTCGATTTAGTAGGTGGTTCTCTAACCCGAGCCGATCAGGAAGCCGATCCAGCAGTCTTGGGTCAACACCACATGAAGAGCTGGAGAGACTTGCAGGTAAAATTGCTTCAGGTTCTGGTCTTAATGTAGACTTGAGCTTTCCCTGATATGGTTCATTTTGTCTTCATTAGTCAGGGGTCCATTAAAGGGTTTCTGGATACTGAAAAAGCCCTTCAATTGGTGTCCTTTTAATACTGTTGAAGATATGTTTCTGTGCTTTATTGGGACCAATTAATTATGAATATATTTACTTGCAATACTAGGTCTGGAACAAGCCATCCTCTCTCCTGGACAGAACTCGGGGAATTATTTTGCTCCTATACCATTAGAAGACCATGCTGAAAATAAAGTGGATATTCTAGAAATGCTACAGAAAGCCAAAGTGGATTTAAAACCTCTCCTTTCCAGCCTTTCTGCAAATAAAGAAAAGCTTAAAGAGAGCTGTAAGTTTTTATTAGAGTCTGCTTTAGATATTTGAAACATTTGGATGCTCTGTCTTAATGGCAGAATTGGTTCTAACAGACTGCTATCTCATCAAAAGTCAGATAATGGTGGGTTTTGTTTAATGTTCTTCAAAAAAACTTTTTATCAAACAGTACCACCTCTTTGAGAATCTGGTAGTCACTGGGTCACAAGCTCCATGGTAAGAACTTTTCTTCTAAGTCCTCCTTACCTGGAGCCTGAGTATAACACTCCCGTGAATGTTGTAGTCCTCCCGAGCATAACTTGGCAGCTCCTCACACCTCTGCCCCAGTCTGCCATGTTCTTGCTTAGGTTATTAAGCCCTCAACATACAACCTTCGTGATATATTAACCATAGTGCAGGTAGCACTCTTTCTCATGTTGGGCCATCTGGGATTCCTGTCCCTGGTAATAAGTCTCCAAAAGACTCATTATAAGAAGTCCTCCTGCAGGATCTCAGTGCCTTCAGTTTGTCTGTTTTTGGTGTCAGCCTTTTCTGACCACCTCAATTCAACTGTGAAATAAATTATTTTCACCTTAACCATCATGGTATACAAAGAGAATTCCTACCACATATTCCTTTGCTTCGCTTAACCTGGACTTTTCTCAACCTTTCAGCACATTCAGGGGTTGTGCTTTCAGTGGAAGAGGTAGAAGCAGGGCTCAAGGGCTTGAAGGTGGACCAGCAGGTGAAGAATTCAACTCCCTTTATGGCAGAGCATTTAGAGGAGACCCTGAGTACTGTGACCAGCAATCGACAGCTCAGAAAAGATGGAGATATGACTGCATTCAACAAGCTAGTGAGCACCATGAAGGCAAGTGGGACTTTGCCTTCTCAGCCCAAAGTCAGCGTAAGTATTTGGCACAAACCCCAACCTTTTCTCCTTTTCCCTCTTTCTATTCCACTTCCCACCCAATAAATGGCTTTTAAAAAAGGTATTCCGAGTAAGTTGGAAATTCTTTAGTAGTCAGTTGGTCCTTGCTACTTTTGTGTGTTTTTTAATTATTGCTATACTGTTTGTTACTTGAAAAAGCAGGCTTGTGGTTAATCTGTAGTTACTGTGCATGACAGTACAGCGATTGAAAGATTCAGACATAACTTGCTTATCTTAACTCACTGCTGGAAAAAAAAAGGTGTAAACATACCTTTTGGAATGAGCTCCAGAGAAGGTTTTCAGTTTATTCGGCTACTTAAGTTAAAGTAACTTACCATATTTTTAGAGTAAAATCTTTTCACAACTTCTAATTACTCCCAGATACCTGAGATTACTTGCTTTCTTGATTAGGCAGTTGACAGGTATACATATCATTTGTAAAGTATCTAAGATGAATTTTTCAAGACAGTTGCATTCTGTTAATTTACTAATAAAAAAAAGCTGTGACTCCAAACTTAAAACACCTTTAGACATGAAGTTGGTTTACAAGGTGACTGCATGTCAGTAAATGCAGGTGTGTAGCACATACTGGTCTTTGTCATAACACATTTAGAGGGCGCCTCTCAGCCATGGTCTATGTGTTACTGTTGCTAACCCTTGATGATACAAAGTGAAAGGGAAATGGTAAATCTGAATAATAAATAAAAACATAGACTTACTCTAGTTGCTATGTTATAGCAAATTCACCAAACTGAGTTTTGTCTCTTGTTTTTCCTGACACCTTCTTGTCTGAGAGCTATAGGTTAACCATGGGAGAAGTAGCTGTTTCATTGTGCCTTGTACCAGTGGAGGGCAGCTGATTTTTGATGTTTCTTTTCTGACCAGCTGTTAGTGCTAGATCCTAACAGACGCCATTGTTCCTGGCCTACCTACCTGACTCTCTGCCTCTGAAAGGAGGCATCTCAGATAGGTATAAGATAGACTTACTTCTGTGTATCTGACCACACCATGCCAGTAATAGGGGAATGTTCCTTGTAAGCTGCTTTAGATAATTTCCATGCAAAGAATTACTAGATATAAATGCTTTCAAATGAGGACCAGATTACAGGACTGCAAACTATCCTGTCCTGCTTTCTTGTTATTGGGTTGGCCAAAAAGTCCATTTGGGGTTTTCTGTGATTTAACGGAAAAACCCAAACAAACTTTTTGGTCAACCCAGTACCTTTATGTCATGGTGATTACGTGCTGACTACAGTGGTAGGGATCAAATCTTGTAAATAGCCACTTTTATTGTAAGTAAAGAAATGGGAGCAGGGGAATTCAACAGTTTACCTGATGCTTTTGAACATCTTCTTTCAGATATGATTCTAGGGTTTGATATTAACACAGTTGACCTGGAGTTGTGAGGATAACTGGTATGATGTTGGGGTTTCAGTGCTCTGAAATATATCTGGCTTCAGCTGAGGGAATGGAATGAGCCTCAAACACACGCATAAAGGAATGGATGATATAATTTAAGGTGCTAGGCGAAGAGTAACACAAACTCAACCTAGAAAAGAAAGCAACAAGAAAATAATGTAATAAGTGTACCGGGCATTATCCCAAAATATTACTTGATTTGCATATTGTTGTTTAAGTCATGGAGTTCTTCCAAGCTTTTAGTTACTGTGACTGTGTTATGTATACTATTTCTGATCTGCCTCTGTTTTGGTTCAATCATATTGTTTATCCCCAAAATAGGACATGTTGGTTCAGTCTAAACTCTATTTCAAATTAAATTGTAGACACTATCCTCCAAATATAGTAAGCCATGTAGTATAAAGTTGCCTATTTGTTTTTTTTGGGTTTTTTTAAATAAATTTATTTATTTTATTTATTTACTTTTGGCTGTGTTGGGTCTTCGTTGCTGGGTGCGGGCTTTCTCTAGTTGCGGCGAGCGGGGGCTACTTTCCGTTGCGGTGCACGGGCTTCTCATTGCGGTGGCTTCTCTTGTTGTGGAGCACAGGCTGTAGGCGCACAGGCTTCAGTAGTTGTGGCACGCAGGCTCAGTAGTTGTGGCACACAGGCCTGCTCCACGGCATGTGGGATCTTCCCAGAGCAGGGCTCGAACCTGTGTCCCCTGCCTTGGCGGGCAGATTCTTAACCACTGCGCCACCAAGGAAGCCCGCCTATTTGTTTTTGTTAAACGGAATTAAATGACTCTTGAGGAGATCTTATTAAAATCATTTACGGTCAGTTCCAATTCCAAAACCAGCAATGAAACACTTGGATATCTTTGGGCTATTTGTCACTCCCGAGGACATTGCTGTGGACCTTGGCAGTTCCAGCTTGTGGAAGGGAAACTGACAGAGAAAGCACTTCAGGCAGAGCTAAATGGACACAAGGATGTCCTGAAGCACCAGAGGTAATACAAGTTCGATGCAAAATATAACTGCTGCTGCATTAAAAGAGCTAAAAGTGGAGGATATGAATTTTGCCCTGTATATGAGACCCATTTGGAGTAGCTTGTTAAAAAATAATAAAGTTTAAATTTCCTGAAATATGAAACTCTGAAATATAACAATTTTGGCCAAACTCACATGTTGTTACTAGGTTTTTCGTACCATCTATGGTCTATAAATCTTGTTAAAGACAATGGGTAGCAAAGGTTGCCTCAAATTAAAATCTATAGATTATCAAAATTTCCTACTTGTGCCTTCTCAGTAAATAAGTGTTCCCTTGTTTCGCCATTTTCTTTTCCCCTTCTTTTGGTCACAGTGTTAGAAATAGTAAAATGGACTTAGGGTTACCACAGAAAAGACCTTGTCTGAGGGTCTCTGAGTGGACTTTGCACGTACATGTGAAAATTCTTTCTGTTCCGAGATCTTTGGGACCTGTGTGATGAGAGAGTGGGACAAGTTGATCTGACTTTTCTGTGATATGGACATCATTCTGCTGTTAAGTGCTAACTCCCTGGGGAGTTATGTTTTCTTGTGGTGGTCCCCAATTAATAAGTTTAGTAAGTAAGAAGGTTAAAACCAGTTTTCCTTTGATTTTTTTAGCGAACGCTTGAAAGCCATTTGATGTCCCCTGCTGAGATTCCAAGCCAGCCTGTCCCTAAGAACATCTTGCAGGTACTTCACAATCTTATACCGAGGCCTTGGAGTCCTGAACAGTAGTCCTCCAAACTGGTTTTGTGTGGTGGTCCACCTTTGGGCCTTAGAGAATGATCCATGTTGCCCGGCAACGAAGGATATGATGTTGCTGCCTGACATAGTTCTGTGTCGCTTGTTAATCTCAATGTGGGGTGGGTAGGTGGCTAAAAAAGATGATGAAGTAAGCGCTTGGTTTCCAGTTTGCAGGTTTGCAATTTCTATGGAAATTTAAAGTATCTAACTTATATTTGTAGCACTAACTTAAAGGAAATGTTGGTAGCTGAACATTCAGAGCAATTTGTTGAATGTACATGTGCCAAGTCCTTTAGTGCAACAGGAGGGAGATTCATCATTGGCAACCTCTGACTAGGAGGAAGAACTAGGTTTGTTCACAAGGATTTGACTTTTCTGCCTTTAGGAACTTCTGGGTCCACCTGTTCAGAGACCTGCTTCTTCCAATCTTCTGAGTGGCCTTATGGGGAGCTTGGAGCCTACGACATCTTTACTGGGCCAAAGAGCACCCTCTCCTCCCTTGTCACAGGTGTTTCAGACGAGAGCAGCCTCAGCAGACTACCTTCGTCCCAGAATACCATCACCAATTGGTAAATGCTTTTGTGCGTAGATGCCTATCTGTTATCATTTCCCCTCCCCTTCCCCTAGGTTATACCTCTCCCTTAAAACTGGCAAAGTCTTTTTCATGGGTATCCTTGAAGAATTTAAAAAGAAATGTGTTAATTTGTTATGATTTTTTCAGGGGGTGGTAAGGACACAGATGTGGAAGATAGTTTATTATCCAGCTGCCCTTCTAGATAAATAGGTTCATGGTGAAGTTTTGTACTTTTTCTCTTGAGGTTGATCTAAATTGGATCCAGCTTTTTAGTCATCTTCCTTATTTTGGGAATTCAATCTAGAAAAGTTAATTTGGCTCCATAGGTTTTTCCTTAATAGAGAAGTCAGAGTAGTGGCTCTCTACCAACCTGGTGAAGTTGTACACGACCAACTGGGAGATCTTGTGGCTAATTCAGAACATGAATGGAAGAAGCACTTCCAGAAAGCTGTCTTAGCAAAGTGTTGAACACAATCTCAGTGTTCTTGCACCTGCGACCACTTTAGGCTGCTGGCTGCTCTGGCCCCTGCCAGTCATACCTTGAGAGGAAGTTTTTGTAATCTTTCCACAATTAGGGAGATATAATGGAAAGAGTATGAACCTCAGAGCACTGGCCTCTGCTTTGGTATCAGCTGGTGTGGTTGCAATGGGCCAAATCACTGGCTAGAAAAGCTATTCTCTCCCAGATAGAGGTCTCGGCTCTGAAAGAAACAAAACTGACAGCTTAGCTGGGAAGATAGATACCAGCAGTTTGAGTCATTAAGTGCTCTGATTGAGGTCCACAGAAGAAGAGAGACATCATCAGCCCAGGAAATCAGTACTTCCTGAGAGAGATGGTGTTCAGCGAGGAGCAGCATGCATTGGTGATAATGCCTCTTGGAGGGACAGGTGCTATCTTGACATGCACTGAATCTTTAACCTTCCCAACAGGTTTCACACCAGGACCACAGCAGCTTCTCGGAGATCCATTCCAAGGCATGCGCAAGCCCATGAGCCCTGTCACAGCCCAGGTCTGGCTGAGCTCTTTCTCAAACTTAATCTGTTGCTTGCTTTTTACCCTTATTGTTGCTTGTGGGATAGAGAATTAAATTGCTGCAATGCTTGGAAGTGGTTTTGAATTATAACTCAAGCTCAGTGAAGGCTAGAAAATTGGTGAAATTATGTCATACTTAAATAGCTGAAATTCTGTTCAGTGGATGGCAGCATAGTTTAGTCAGGTTTGCAGTATTTAATTTCTCTCAGCTGCTGCTTAAACATACCTTTCCCAAAAGAGCAAAGAGAGACCTTTGTAGAAAGTGCACTGACTGTCATTCTTCTGCTGACCCCCCTCTGCCACTTCTGTTCAGCAGATGAGCCAGCTAGAATTGCAACAGGCAGCTTTGGAGGGACTGGCCCTGCCACATGACCTTGCAGTGCAGGCAGCAAACTTCTACCAGCCTGGTTTTGGCAAACCACAGGTGGACAGAACCAGAGATGGATTCAGAAACAGGTAAATTATTAATCCTACCCTTGTGGAGATTTGCAAATTAGTTATCCATAGTATAACTTCTGTTTTACACACTGATATATTATACAATATATGGTGACAGTTCCATCTCCTGAATATTCAGTAGAGGAAATCGTATGATTGAATTCTAGTGCAGGGGCATAGGCTTTTCATCCTATATAATTTTATTTATATTTTTCATTTAGCGGATTCGTTTTTACACATGTAGCTAGCATAGCTACTTATTTGCAGTTATGCTTATGAAATGATGAAAAGTAAAACTACACCTAGCTTCCTCCCCCTCAGATTCCTTGTTGAGTATCAAACTGTGCCTTGATTCAGGTTTGTTGGTCAGAACTGTTAACAAATGATTACTGACTTCACTCTCCTCCCATTCTCTCCACTAGTTTCAACAAGTAGTGAAATGAAATGAACCATAAGTTGGGGAGGAAAGGGTAGCAATATTGTTCTTTTTTATTGTAAAATAAAATAAGCAGAAAACTGCATGAAGCAAATGTATGGCTTATTGTAAGGTAAACTCTCGTTAGCTACCCAGAAGCCCTCCTTGTGCCTTATCCCGATAATACCCCTTTTCTCCAGAAGTGACCATTGTCCAGTCTTTAAAAGTAATCACCACCTTCGTATTTTTAGTTTTATCACCAAAATATGTATCCTTGAACACTGTACTCCTGCCCCATATAGTATTTGTTACTTAAGCCGTATTTGTTTTGATGTGATTATTAAAATTGCTGTCTCAGTGTCTTCCTTTAGCTGGTTTTGTATGTTGAAACTTTCAGAAAACATTGGGACCAGTAAGTACCCCATTCCCTTGCATAAATGTGTCTGATCTATAGCCCTCAGCCTAAACAGAGAGCTCAGGACTGGTCTGCCAAGCCTCTTCACTGGACTTCTGTCTACAATGTAACGATTTGTTGACCTTCAAAGCACTTTTGATATCCACAATTTAATTTGCTCTTGGCAACAACTCTGTGAGGTAGATGGGGTAAAGAACTGCATTTTACAGATACAGAAACTTAGGTTTTTAAAATGTGACTGACTTGAAGCTAGCAGGTAGATCCAAGTCACTGTCAGTGGAGCCTTCAATTTTTAGATCAAATGGCAGGCCTTCCCTGAATACCGTGTACACAATTGTGTCCCCCAACAGATATGGTTTCTCCTTGCCTTGCTTTATTTTTTTATTGAACCTATCACCTTCTAGCATATTTTTTTTTCTGTCTCCCTGCCCATAGTAACCCTTCTATCCTGCAAACACAGAATGTAATGAAGCCAGAGATTTTTGTTTTGTTTACTGCTGTATCCCCAGCACCTAGAACAGTGTCTAGCACATAGTAGGTGCTTAAATATGTTTATCAGAAGGAATAAATGATAGGTCGTGCAGAACCACCAGATTGGAGGTTACCTCTTAGTCACCCAGAGTACTACTGTCTCTCTCTCCCCTTGTCATCATACTCATAGAGTCTCAGGGTGGCAGCACTGGGGCTTACCTGGTACAGACTGGAAAGAAGCCATGAGTTTAGGATTCCCATCTGCTTATGAGTCAGAGAACTTCCAGAATCATTGACTGTACTTGGAGCTTTGGCCTTTGCAGAACAAGGTCTGACATGGCTGAAATGCAGTGAAGCTTTGATTACCCAGTGAGCTCACATAGTTCATTCTTCTCTCAGCCTGTTTATGTCATCAACTGTTTCCTGTTTTCTTCCAAGTTAAGAGAGAATAAGTAGGATGTCTGGGGAGAGAAGGGAAGTCTGCTCTTTTAAACTTGATAAGGGAAGCCTGGGACCAACCCTGTGTGTAGACCAGGAGTAGCGGGGAATGCTTCATGTAACTGGGTCCTAAAATAGCTCAAAGTCTTGGTGCTCTATTTGACTTGAATCAGTGTCTCACAGAGCCTCAGTTCTATGCCAGGCACTGTACTACTCAGTGTTGCTCCCTACCTTCTGGAGCACAGCCTGCCCTACAGAATAAAGGCTCTCCCTAGTCTACCTCACTGGAATAGTCAGCAAGTAAACTACACACTAGCGCTGGATAACCCTACATTCCCAAGGCCTTCCCGAGTCCCTGTACCTGTTCCTTCTACCTGAATCATTGTTCTCCGTCTGTAGTTTATCATTGGCACACTCAATGCAGCTCCTTCCAAGAGAAGCTTTTGCAAAGTCCCTGCATCGTAGGGGTATCCTCTCATTCCTTCTACCCCTCATTTTCCCATTGTACTTTGTTGGTACCCTAATATTGACATTCCTTGTTTGCCCTAGGTTAGTAAGTATCTCCCCTAGATGAGAGTTCTTGCAAGGCCCGGGACCATGTATCATTAAGCTTTTGTCTTTCCTCAGAACTTAGCACATGGTTTTGCATATGTTAGACACTTATTAAATGCTTGGGAAATTGAATTGAAGAAAGGAAATGGGATGCTTCCTAGGCTGGCCTTGAGTTTTATGTGGTTTTAGAACTTGGAGTTTGAGCAGCTTGGGGCTCACACTGATAATTGGTTTGTTCACAGGCAACCGCGAGTGACCAAGTCACCAGCACCTGTGCACGGAGGGAATTCCTCTTCCCCTGCCCCAGCCGCCTCCATCACAAGCATGGTCAGTGACCTTTGCCTTTGTGAATGACTCCTAGGCTTCTCCCTGTTTGGTTGTGCCTATGTTGGATCACTGTGTACCCCAAAATGTCCTTGAGTGCCTTCCACAGGAGTCAGTGATTTAATAGACTTTTATGCCTGCCTATTTATTAGGCCCTCCCCTCTCAGGATACAGTCTAACTCAGGATTGTAAGTTCTAGTGAAGCCCCTACCTTGGGGAAAGTGTTCCAGCAGATAGACCAGTAAGGGCCAGAGCATACAGCGTGGTGTGATATGTTCAAACAAATGAAGAATTGGAGTGGGGAGCAGGGGAGGACAGGGGTAAGGATAGGAGGTGAGGTGACTGGGCTTGGAGCATGGGAAGTCCAGAGAAACATGGTGGGAGTTCACGAATTCAGATTCAGGTCTCAATACAAGTTAAGGCTGGGATAGAGAGGTTTGCTTACTTGTGGTGACAAGTCAAGTTTTACAGCCGACTCGTGTACCAGCATTATTTACCTTTTTTAGGTTTCATCCCCCCACAGACCTTTATCACCTAGTCAAAGCTGATAAGGGGAAAAGACTATTGCTCTGTACTTCAGGACCTCAAGTGGGTCTTTGCACTAAGCACCCTGAAGGCAGGATCTAAGAGCTTTTCTGTTCATAATTCATGCCCTGTCTCCTGTCATCAAGGATTTGGGATTGTTTAATGAGAAAAGTTGCATGCATAATAAAATCATCAATGTAAAAGTAGGCAATAAAGAGGTGGGAACAGATGACCCCAAATAGTGAGTACTGGTGGCTGAGGAGACCTTTAAGAACATAATTGTGGATTTTCTGGTAGCCAGGTTAAGATGGGAAACACTACGAGTATAGAGAAATTTAGGTTCTGTGGTTGTCGCTGAAATGTCCTTTCCTAGCTGGGAGGGCTGCTGTTGCAGGGTATACTTCTGGCCATGTTCTTTCCCCCTTCCCAGCCTAATCCTGAAGCAGAGGCTGCCATAGGCAGATCCCCATCACCGCAGACAGGTAGATTGAAGCTTCTGTGCTTCAACTACCTTTATGCTAGAGCTAAATCCACGTTTTGATGAAATTGTGAGCATGGGATGGTGCACTTGGGCCACCGCCTATTTGGCCCATCCTGTTGCTTTTCTTCCAGCAGCTAGAGACCAGAACGTTGGAGTTGGCCTCTGCCACATGTAGCCAGAAGGGGACTCTTCAGCTTCAGTAGTTTGGCCAGTTGATTAGGAAAGGCATTTAAAGAATGTGTTAATACTGTTTTTCTCTGCAGCTTTCTCCTTCCTTCACTCCTACCTCAGTGATTCGTAAGATGTACGAGAGCAAAGAGAAAAGCAAGGAGGAGCCAGCATCTGGAAAAGCAGCTCTTGGTGACAGTAAAGAGGACACTCAGAAGCCCAGTGAAGGTACTGCAGAGCTGTTGAGGATGTACTGCCCAATAAAGTATGTGACAGAGCATCAGCCTGCAAAGCCCTGGGCAAGACCCCTGGTTGCTTTGGACCACAGTTCTGTGTCTAACAGTGAGAAGGGTTGGACCAGCTCATAGTTACTTAAGCCACTTGAAATTCTGACCAATCTAACCGTGGCAGGCATGAGTGCTGGTATTAGGAAGAACAAGCATTAGTTTAGGATCCTTATTTTGGCTTGAATTATTAGTACATTTATTTGGCAAATTAATAAAAGTTCAACCAGGTTTATTTCTGAAAGGTTCTCTCCAGTCTGTGGAGACTAATCATCTAATAAAATCTGCAGTGGGTGAAGCATATAGGAGGTGTGTGAGAGCCTTTTATAAATATGTAGAAAATGTAAGAGGTTTTTAGGGGTTGCACAGTTGGGATTTTAAGGACATAGTGAAACAGATTCTAATGAGTGAGGTTTACATAGGTCTAGAGTATTGGTCTGAGAGCTTTTTGCCTGTGAGAAAGCTTCTGAGAAAAAAAGAAAAAAGAAATCCTGTTGGTCCTACTAAAAGGCAGTTCAGATTCCTTCACCAGACTATAATTACTCTTTAAGCTTTCTGTTGTGATGGATTTGCATAATTTTACTCACTTGATTTTCCCCTTAGACTAAAAAGCATGTTAATCCCAAGCAGCTGACTAGGATAGGACTAGCTCCCACACAGATGCAGACCACAGGCATATGGGCAGACCAGGGTGCCCAACTGAGTTAGACCACCAGACCTGATATGCCAGGCTTGCTTGCCCATAGCTATTCCTGGATTGGGAAGGTTATAAGAACAAAGATGTGGGCTTCTTAAAAGTTATCTCATTTACAACTTCATAGTCTTTGGTTTTTTAGAGTGTAGCAAAAATAAACTCTTGCGGCAAGGTGTTGGAAGACTGGAAAACTTCGGGTCTACTCCCAGGTCTGTCCTTAACTACCCATGACCTTGACTAGGCCTGTTCATAAGGCCAAACGATGGTCCCTACGATGCAATCCTCTAAATCTGTTGAGGGGATCAAATAAGGATTGTGAGCTTTCTAAGAAATGAGTTACTGGATCATTGGGAGGACAATGTGTTTGAGAAAAGTTTGCCAATACCAAAATATTCTCTTTCTGGATCCTTACAGAGAACCTCCTGTCATCCGGCTCTGTGCCCACTGCTGATCGAGACTCTTCTCCCACTACAAATCCCAAACTATCAACCCTACAGCGGTTTTCATGTTCCACCCCACTATCACAGACCAGTCGTTACACCAAAGAACAAGATTACCGACCTAAAGCAACTGGGAGAAAAACACCCACCTTGGCATCCCCAGTTCCAGGAACACCTTTTCTCCGCCCTGTGCACCAAGTCCCCCTTGTCCCCATCGTTCGGCCTGCTCACCAGCTTCACCCAGGGTTGGTCCAAAGGATGCTGGCCCAGGGAGTACATCCACAGCATCTTCCAAGTTTGCTCCAAGCTGGTGAGTTTCTGACCTGGCATGATGACAGTTGCTAGAACTGATGGTTTTCATCCCTAAAAAGATGTTACTAGGTTTTTTCCATTTTAACCAGTGGGTCCAATCTGATCTATCCCTTAGTCGATTAAAAGATTAGGAACCTAGCATTGAGGATTCTTCATTCTTAATAAACTTTCTGATTAGCAAAACTGTATAGTCAGGCTTGAAAATTTCCAGGTAGATTATTTCTCACCAGTTTCTTCTTTCTGCCCAATAGGTGTGCTTCCTCCTGGGATGGACCTGACTCATTTACAGGGACTATCTGGCCCAATCCTGGGTCAACCCTTTTACCCTTTACCTGCCACTAGTCACCCTCTCCTAAACCCTCGTCCTGGGACACCTCTGCATCTGGCAATGATGCAACAGCAGCTACAGCGCTCAGGTAAGTTCAGAAATGGGCCAGGTGAGCTGAGGATGGGCTCAGGCTTAAAGTTTTTGAACCAGTTTCCAGTGAAGGGGATAAAATGACACTGACCATTCACCCTAGCAAGACTGGGATAAGGGTGTAATCAGAGAATAGGATGAAGTAAAGCGACCTCTGTGGGATTTGGAATTCCTGTGAAGACAGTGGGAGAGCCAGGTGTGCTTTGGCTTTTTTTTTTTTCTTTTGTCCCTTTGCCTCTTAGGAGAGGAGGCTGAGAATCCTTCTGACAGATTCAGCATAGGGACTGCCGAGAGTAGATGCTCTCTCGCCAGCTTATGTCATTGCTTCTGCTTGTCTTGGGAAGTAGTGGGCATGTCATCTAGGATGGGCTCTCAATATCGATTGCTTCTGAATAGCTCAGCTTTCTAAGGTACTGTCTTCTGGCATTTTGCAAAGGAATTTCCTAAGGAAGCCTAGAATCAATCACGTGGTAAAGAATTCTGTTTGGAGTTTCATGGATAGGATTTGAGTGAAGCAGGGCCTGCCTGCTAGAGAACTACCTCCTCTCCTTGTGCTCTGAATGATAACGTTCTTATCGCCACAGTTCTTCATCCTCCAGGGTCTGGTTCCCAGGCAGCTGCTGTCAGCGTTCAGACGACGCCTCAGAATGTGCCCAGCCGGTCAGGCCTGCCTCATGTGCACTCCCAACTAGAGCACCGCCCCAGCCAGAGGAGCAGCTCCCCCGTGGGCCTTGCCAAATGGTTTGGCTCAGATGTGCTACAGCAGCCCCTGCCCTCCATGCCCGCCAAAGTCATCAGTGTAGATGAACTGGAGTACCGACAATGAGCAGGGCAGCAGGCTTGTCTAAGCCTGGACCTTTTGGTGGCACCCTGGTCAGGACTCTGCTTCCTCATCTCATGTTGGTTTATGGGCTTTTACTTTGTAGCACTCTGTGCGAAGCTGTTGAAGGGCACCTAGGCACCTGGTGTTGTCTGCATTATGATGGAAGGAACTTATTAACCAATCGAGTGGAGCCTACATGGTCTGAATACAGGATGCAGTGTTGTCAGTCCTGAATACAGGAAACAGTCTTTTTTTGTAAGATATGTGAATGAAGTGTTGGTGTCTTCACCAAAAGGTGGCACCTTAAGGGTTCTGAGGAAATAAATGTATAGACCCTTATGTACAGACCTGTGTATAAACAACTTTTGTACATACATATAGGATAGCTTTTTTGAACTTATACAGCTGTACATAAAAGTAGCTGATATTAGTTAAGCCTGTGTCAACAGTTTGGATTTTTTTTCACTTGTACATTTGGGACTTTTTCTTTTGGTTGATTAAAGTTGCATATGCTAAGTGTGTGAATGAAGTGAATGGCACTGTTGTGTTTATTTCTTCCTGAATCCCTTCCTCTTCACTAGGTTCTTTGAGGGAAATTATCTTAAGTTTTTTCTTTAAAACTCATGGAATTGAACTCTGATTTGGGAGAAGGAAACTATGGCCCTCTTTCTTGAGCCTTAAAGACCCCAATGGGCCAGTTCAGGCTGGGCTGACCTTACAGGTAGTATTGATTGTGGCTAATACCAGATGATGGTGTGCAATTTCTAAAATTAAACCCACCTAGTGAAAACTATTTGTTTATTGGGGTAAAAGTCAGCGGTTTGTTGCCTTCCTGTTCTCCAGGTCAAAGTCCCCTATAGGGAAAAATGGGGCCTTAGAGTTCTGATTCAGTCCATAAATTTTTTCCATATAAAACTTCCCTCAAGACTCTGGTGCCTGTGTTAACTGATTTCTTGTGTGCTCTACCTCATTCCTCAACTCACAATTATTTTAATTATTCATCTTAACTACATGCACAACATTGGAGAAAAGGATTCCACTATAATACTCTAACTATGGCCTCAAGTCCCCTTTCCTCACTTAAGGTTTTTTAGTCCCACCAATCTGAGGTGACAAATCTTCTTGATTTGTCACCCAGTATCTCGATAACTCACCCAGTATCTCGATACTTGTCTATTTAGGGATCAAAGCTACTTTGACTTCATACTAGAGGGTCAAAAAATGAGGCCATTCTCTGATTCACAGGTGAAATGAGCAAGATGGGTGGATTTTGAGTACAAGGGTGAAAAACAGCCTCAGTGTTAAGGGTGCAGCCTATAAACCTGGAGCTGCCCACCCTGCCCTATATTCTTCCAGGAACACAAGAAAGCAGGTTGCTTTTCAACCAAACCTGGCTTTGTGGACTGAGCATGAGGTCTGTCTCTTCCTAGTACTTCAACTTCATTAGCCCTCCCTCCCTGCAGTAGGATTTGCTGAGTGATTCTTCAACTTCAGAAATAAGCCCTGTTTAGAATTCTCACAAATGCTTTGTTTCTATAAACAAAAGCTGGAAAACAATCTCAAGTAACAGTGGCAGAACATAGACACCTGAATCTAATTCCATCTTTCCTGTGTGTCCTTTCACCTTCCCTTTCATGTTGAACCAATAGTTAATAGGTGTAGAGTGGGGAGGATTGGTTTGAAGCTGCTTGTGAGGGCCTCCTTTTCAGACTTAGAAGCTGGTATGACAGAAATGAACAAATGCAGGCACCAAGCAGAGGGCAAAGCCATTAGCCAATAACTGGTGAGATGGAGCCAGAAGGAAATAAAGGAGTGTTGCTAAGAATAGCACAGCAGAAGCTAAACGGCACAAAAACTATTTTGGTGAATGGAAGAGTAGAGGCAAAAGAGGAAGTTAATGCAGTCTTCAGGAGCTGAAAGCCAGATATAGAGTAAGGGCAATGGAAGAGTAGAGGCAAAAGAGGAAGTTAATGCAGTCTTCAAGAGTTAAAAGCCAGATATAGAGTAAGGGTAGGAGGACCTGATGACATGATGTCTCAGCTAACAAGGTATCTTACGTGGAGCAACTTTGGAAAGTCTAGCAGGCATGAAATGAGTTTAGAAGCAATCAAGACTGGAAGGATGTGCAAGGCCTCCTCAAAGTAAAAAGGCAGAGGGCCACAGAGAACCTCGTGGAAGTTAAGGAGGGGGGTCAGGTAGGAAAGAATAGTGCCCCCACCCCCAAGGAAGCAGTTGAGCAGCCAGTACTTGGAAAGTTAGTAGTAATCAAAAGTAGGGGGAAAAAATGGGAAAGTACAGCCAGGCCTTCTTCCAGGAGACAGCTGTTAAGTATCTTATAAGCCAGGCTCTTAAGATGGAAGGGAGGTCAGGTACACTGGCCTGAATGAAAGAGACAAACTCCAGGAATGAAGATTAACTTATTGGAGTAAACTGATTCAATAGTTCTATTCCCTTTATCAACAACTGGTTCAAGAATGGGAATGAGATGCAGAGACAAATTGGCTGGGCAGCTTCTAGGAAATGGCTTCCCCAAAAGATAAAGACTCAGCGCTCTTTAGTATCCTCTGGATACTGATACAAAGCCTGGGACTGAGCAGACATTCTTTGACAGTGAGGGGAGCCAACTGCCCAGCAAAGCCAACAAACTGCAGTGGACAAGAGTAGCTTGATGGAAAGAATCTGGATCCTCAATGACATACCAGCTACCATAAGCCCATCTGAGCTCCAGAAAACTTATGTGAGAGACCAAGTTTTCTTCCATTTCAGCTGGTTAAGTTAGCGTCTGCTATGAAACACAGCTAAAAGCATTCTAACTAGTTAATGGCACAGGACAGTGAGTCTGCTTAGCTGTGCTATAAAAGATTAGGAAAGAAAAATGGAAATTCACAGGAAATTCAAGCCATGCTATGACAGCCAAACAACTCTAGTCTTGGGAGTTCATGAAGAGAAAGCTTTGCGCTATAGGAATAACCCTCGTTGGTGGCCCTACCCCAGGCAGCATTCCTAATACAAGACTGTACCTCTCTCCCAGAACTCCCAAGTCTGAACCCAAAAGGGAGAGAAAGGAGGGGTAGGGTAATGCTCTCCTCAAACACCAGGGGCCACCGATGGGGGAAGGGGAGGGTGTTGAATGATGGAAGCAAGGCCTGTTCAAAGTACATCCTGAGGCCTTGGATGAACTTGGGTTTCAGCATCCTTCTCTCCCCAACATCCTGGCATTTCATTGCCCAATGAAAGTGAGTCTGAGGATTCCCCCAAAACCCATATGCCCTGGCTGGAAAGTAAACCTTGCTGGAAATCCCATAGCTCAGGAAGCCAATGTCTCTCTGAAGAGCCGGGGTAGGTTCTAAATTATGGCCTCTATCATGAATGTACCAGTGATATCAAGGTCTACACCCTGCAAAGTGACTAGGATACCAGGCCTGAGAGGCTTATCTCCTGGCTGTGGGGACAGTGCTAAACCCAGGCTCTAGGAAGACTATGAGAGGGAAATAACTGTCACTAAGGTAATAGGAGTAACAAGTACTGGAAAAGGCTGAGTATGTGGAAAATCCCATATCCTCATTCCTCACAACCTGCTAGAAGCTCTAGCTCACTTCACCTAAAATCAAACTCTGTCTTCCTGTAAATGTTTCCCTTCTCGATTTTCTCAGGGACTCCCCTTCTCTATCATCCCTGTAATCCATACTGAAATAATCTTTGACTTCTCTTCCAAAGAGCAAGTCAGTCAATTACCGAGTTTAGATTTCTCCTCTATAGCTATATGTCCACTCCCTCCCTCTCCCCATATTCTCACTAGTCCAGTCCAGCACACAAAGATTTCTGCCAATTTTGCATTATCAAGGAAATCCCTTATTTCTAGTCTAAAACCTCTACTTATGCCCTTAGTACCCTCTCAAGTAGTCTTGACCCCACCCCTCCTTATAACCTAACCTCCCACCTCCATACATATGTGTACCCACAAACCTGCTCTGATCACACTGGTTGCCTCACTTGCAATGTTCTGCCTCCATGCTTTCACTCGGGTTATGTGGCTGGGGCCAGGGCTGCCATGGGAGTTCAGGAGAAGGGCTGGGCTATGGGAAAGGAGACACTTAGTGGCGCCCAGCTGGCAGCATGGTTCAGCTCAACTTTCAGCCCAACACTGATACACAGCTGTGCTCTAACTAAAGGAAAGGAACCAGTGAAAACAAGAGCCAACATTCACCAAGTACTTATATGCCAGATACTGTGCTAGTAAGCATTTTACAAGTACCATCTCTCTTAATACTAAGAATCTCCACTCTAGAAGGTAAGTGTTATTACCATCTCCATGTTACATGAGAAAACTGAAGCTTATAGAGATTGAGTAATTTATGCAGGATTCCACAGTTAATTAGAGGTAGGCCTGCCATTCAAAGCCTGATGTGCCTGGTCAGAGTATTTTACTCAACCGCCACACTACACCATCTCCCAAAATGGCTAGCGTTGCAGGGAATAATCAGTTAACTTACATCAAGTCCTTCCTTTCTCCAGTATCATCTGGGAAAGACCACCTGAAAAGACCAAAACCCACACTGAGTTGGAAGGGTTTCTCACAACTAACCATCAAGTGAGATGTTGCAGTCACATTTTTACCCATTTCACATACAAGACCAAGCTCCCAAGTACTCCTTCTGCAGCTGCCTCACTACACATACCCATCCTCATTCAGTCCTCCTCAAAACAAATTCTGACAATGACACATGAACTGTACATAGTTCGCTGGCCTACCAGGTCCTTTATGCAGCTCAACATACAAGGTGACACCAAGTTAAGACAAGTGAAGTTCCAATTTGGGTGCCTCCATCTCCCTCCCCTGTATCCTGGTCCAGTGGCTGCCAAAGCCAGGAGGGGCTTGGAGTCAGGTGTTTGATCATGGAGAAAGCTGCCATGGCCTGGCAGATGGTGAAGGGGATGGTGTCACTTCTTCACAATCTGAATGACATCCTCGTCCTCCAACGTATGGTCTTTACCCACTTTTTGAGGATTGTGTTTCACAGAGAGACCCCACACCAGAGCGCTGTATGGAAGGAAAAAAAGAACAGTTAGCATAAATAATCACCTAGCTTCTATCTACCTAGGTGCCACTTTCTGCTCAGATTTAGCATTCCAGCTCTTAAGAGCCAAAGGCCTGCAATATCCAAGGTCCCCTGTCCCCAGTCAAAGCCCAAAGGCTTTAGCTTCCCAAGCAGTGTGGCACACTGGAACCTTCACATAAAAAGTGGCAAAGATTTTCAGAAGTTGTGTGGTTCCTCTTGCTCCAAAGCCAACTTATGAAAGTCAAAGAGAAAAAATACACATGAGAAGTATGACAAGACTAATTTAAAATTAAAAGGAGAAAGCATAGGTTTTTAATAGAGAAAAACCCTGAAATAACTGATTGGAAATTGATTCCTACAAATGCAATGTCAGTTATTTACAGACTGTTAGAGAATACCAGTTTTTATGGGGTCTACTGAAACCATCAGTGGGTACTAATAAGAAATGTAGGACCTCCTTCCTCAGTCA